AGTGACAAGCGGTTATGAAAAAAACGTGGTGATAGGAGTTATAAATGGTAATTATTGGCCAGTCAACCACTATGAAAAAAATGGGTAGTTACAAGCAGAGTCCAAACGGTTAAAAACTGCTCAAGGAGTATAAAAGGAAGAGGAAAGTAATGAAGAAAGTCCCGACAAAATTCACTCTCAAACAGAGAATATGTAATTACTTTTTCTTAAATTAACTTTCATTAATTTATCTTCTTGTACTTGTGTGCTTGCACCCCTTGGAGGCATTTTGTTCGTATCCAAACTGTAATCTTCATATTCGATAAACGCCCCTTTTTGGGACTTTGCTCCAAGAGGTTTGTTCCTTACACAATCATCTGATCATCTTTTAATTGTTAGCGAGTAACCACGCGAAACAGATATATTAATGTTGTAGTTTTTATTGCTTAATGCATCAAATAAAAAATTATCATGTGTATATAACGTATGATAACTGATAGTCTTCACTATAAATATCATTATTCTTTCATAATTATCTCCATAATTAATTCAAAGCTTTCATGCAGATTGCCCATTTAAGTTTAATATATAGTTTAGGATGTAGTTATATGTCCATACTACTTTGTTAAGCTGACACAAAATTTATATGGACTCTAGCCAAAATTGTGCAAAGTAATGACCAATGACTAGCGATTATATATGGGAAAAGGGATGTAAAATAGAATTAAGAAACTCTTTTAGTGTATCATAAAGTTTTCTCTTAATGTTATTATGCCTTTTTCAAAATAGATTTTATAAAAAGTTATTCTTTTTTCTATGAATTTGGGGTTAAAAAGTAAGATTTTTTTTTTTTAGAATTTATGTACAAAATTATTTTAGTGAAAGAATATGCCCTTGTCTGGGAGGGATTCTTGATTTTGAAGAATTGATTTTCATGTCACTTTCATGTACAGTGGAAGCATTGGTGAAGGACAAAAAAGGGAGTTACTTTCCAAAAATGACCTCCGTCCAGCAATTTCTAAATTAGTCATTATTACAACAGCACATTTGACTATTTCATGGTTGCAAAAGTTTTAGCATAGGTCCCACCATTATTCATAAATTTTGTGGATGTTTGTTTGTAATCATGGGTAACGTACATTTTTCTCTTTATTTTACCGTCAATATTTATACCGACGTGAAAAATGGAAATATTGTTCCTGTTATTTTCGTTGCATTAATTTCACACAATTGGTACAACATCGCTAATATTTATTTCAGTACTTCATAACGGCCACAACAATCAAATTACGCTAAAAAAATAATATTCAAACTTGATGTGCTAGTAATCTCGGAACATATCTCACTCATTTCGTTGGGTTTCCGGTGCATGCATTTCGGCTGCAACTTCCTCCCGTTCATCTGGGAGGTCCACATCCGCTACGTTGGGGTCCGTCTTCGCTCTAGTAAATGTTTCATCCACCACACCCGCTCGTCGAAGGAAGTTATGAACTCCCATAGTTGCAATTACAACAGCTGTTTGTACTTGAAAATTATAACTTGGCATTCGATCG